CTTAGGATTTGAAAATGAACCTAATAATAAGGAAAAAGTTGAGCAACCATCTAGGAAACCTAAATCTCAACTTAGGAATAATGAAAATCAAGAAAATAGACAACCTAGAACAATTAGGAACACTAGACTACCTAGAAAGAACACTAGGATGAACAATGATCAAATTAGAAAACCTAGCAACTATTATCAACCTAGGAGAATGCATAATCCAAATGTTGTTTGTCATTATTGCAATAGGGTAGGTCATATAGCACCCGTGTGTTTTAGTAGGCATAGGCATTACACGTATAACAAAACACACACTCTGCATAAAACTAACCGAATGAAATCCTTTCAAAAAGGATATTCGAACTCTAACCAATCCCTGCAGGAATCAACGCAAAAACCATATTACTTCTTCTATTATGATGAAAAGAAGAAGATTCACATACCACTTCCGGAACCCACACAAATCAAACCGAGGTATAGACATTCGGTTCGAGTAGACTGGAACCCACCAACCGCAAAAGGACGAGTTGGCCAAGGTAACACTTAAACACGCATGTTGGTACATATGTGTGTGTGTGTGTTTGCGTACCATGTGTATGTGATTATGGGTGTGTGTGTTTATTAGTTTAAAAAAAAAGTCGTGTCACTAATCCTCAAGGACCCAAAAAGATCAAACGGGTACCAAAATGTTTTCATTGTAGGTGTCAAAGTCAGGGGGAACAAAAGAAATCGATTTTTAGTTCCAAGACTGAGTGTAAATCGATTCACAGGCTTGTGATAATCGACTATCACAACCCACAGAAGTTGGAGCAAAGAAACTGAAGGAGCCAACAATCGATTATCAGCATTAAGATAATCGATTATCAGGGGCTGCAGAACTTTCTCAAAAGTCAGGCACAAACAAGCAACAATCGATTATCAACTATACGATAATCGATTATCTGAGCCTGCACAAGTTTAAGGCAACTCAGGCGCAAACTTCAACAATCGATTTACCAAACATGGCAATCGACTATTGAAGACTGCAGGATAATCAGCGGAGAATCTGAGGCATCTGATAATCGATTGACAGGTCATGATAATCGATTATCAACGGAGATTTTTCAAAAATCTGACCGTTGCAGAGACGTTGGAGAGCAGTTAATGCCTTGTTTGACCATACCAACGAATCTCTACACCTCCTCCACTATATATTGGTGATATCTACTCCATTTTTACTCATTCCAATCATCTCTTCTCCATATATTCATCATAATTCATCATTCTTGCTCCTATTCTTCATTTCTTTCAAAAATTTCTGCAATCTCTCTTGTTGCAATGGCAGGCGGTCAAAGAAAGCGTTCCCGCACCAGCAAGAACGTTGCCTCCTCCTCGGCTCCTCCACCATCGGCGCACAAGTACCTTGACGGGTCGTTTCTTTGGTTCAACGACCGCGAAGAGGCTACAAGGTTCTCGGAGAAGTTTGAGCATCGGGAAATTCTCCCTCCCCGATTCTCCACCGCCCGCTTCATTCATGACTCCATTCCACGCGAAGCACGGGTTATCCTTGAACGTGGAAACTTCCTCGATCTCCTCTACATCAAGAAGGTCAATTATCAACCTTTTCTTGTTCGAGCTTTCTATTCGAACCTGAAAAAGGATGAGGACGGATCGTTGATTTCAAACGTCAACGGGGTGGACATTTATTTGAATGAAGAGAACATTCAAATCCTCACCGGGCTTCGTCGGGACGGACAGGATCTCGGGCTCTACACCGGAGAAGAGGGGGCGCGGTTCAATGAGACCGCTCTCTTGGAGGAAGTGGGCATCCGTCACTTCGTACCCACTCCCCAACAGCGGCGCCCTACGATTTCTTCCATGAGTCCCGTGTATCGTTTCATCTTCTA